CAGTCTCCGGGTCTTCAGATGCAGAATTCAGCTCACAATGCATCTCCAGCTCTACAGCTGAAACAAGAAAGCGTGTCTCCAGCACCTGAGAAGTCAAAATATAAGGGCAAGGAGAAAGAGAAACCTGCGCCGAGAAAGAAAGGGAAAGGTACGCACCATCTCTCTGCATTACTTTTTATGCGCTAGGCTTCCTTTTCAGCATATTTTTACTACAACATACACTTACTCTTTTCAAGGGTCACGATCAGGAAAGAATGCACGTCCTTCTGGTATTTCAGACACGGAGACAAGCCAGTTAGACAATAAACTGAAGGAAGAGGCTGAGATCATTGAACAGAAAGACACAAAGGGGAAAGCGTCTTGGGACGAGGAGAATGAGAAGAAACTCGCCGAATACATCTGTGCACCAGAAAGATGGTCAAAAGCCCAGACCTCCATTAAGAAGTATTGCCAAGAGGTATGTAGACACCTCTCTGCATTACTTTTTATGTGCTACACACCATTAAACTTGTTTTTAGGCTTCCCAGACGATATTGGATCAATATACTACTGATCAAGTGATTACAAAGTGGCATTCGTTGTTTAGGACATATAAGGACACGAAAAGTGAGTAACTCATTTATGTTGTACATCAAAATTGCTTACCCGAGCTTGTTAGAGTGGCAAAACCATACAGGAGGAGGTGATGGGGACGGGGAGATACCAGGCATGCGGACTTCTGTAGCAACATGCAAGAAATTTGCAGAAGGAGCAATCTTTGCTATCATCGACCGAGTGTGAGTCTTGCGAGCTCTTAGGCTCGTTTAATTCGTATGGTTCATACGAAGGCTTACCTGTTATTAGGGCGGATGGACGTCCAGACATCGAGAGGCCCATTGAATTCAGTTCTGGATGTAGCTTTGAGGATATCGAGGCAGATGTCGAGGAGGACGAGAAGAAACGCAAGAAATCTGATCCTGCCACCACATTCTCCGAAGTTGTCAGTGAGGCCCTGAAACTTGCACAAGAACGACAAGAAAAAATGACAGAGCTCGAATCTGAGCGATTTGCGTACCAGAAACGAAAGGATGAGAGGGATGAAGAGTACCAGAGGAAAAGAATGCAGTCTGAAGATCGAGCTGCAGAAATACGGATGCTACGCAATTTGGAAGACCTGCGCAACTCGAAATTAGATGGATACTGTGCACTGCGTGATTCAGAGGATCCAGTGGAGAAGGAACTTGCTGTAGACCTTCAAGATGAGCTTCGAGAGATAGCGCAAAGGATCAGGGAACTTCGACAGGGTGGAAATTAGCATGGGCTGCGTCGAGAGACTGGTTTCTACTATATGCTTTGAATAACACTTAAACTACAGTTCTTGTAACGTTCAGTAAGGTACTCGATATTTAAATGTCAATTCATTCATTCCTTCCATGGAGCGTGCTAAGTTACAGGATAGGAAAGGCATTTTTATTGCTAATGTGTGTCACGAATGAGTACAGAAAGTACCTAGATATTCCTGCGGTTCATGCGTTCGAGCAGATTCTTCCTGCGTAGCACGCCTATATTATAAAGCTCGTTTCCACCCATGCGATTTATATTCCTGGCCCGTTCTGCTGCCATTTGGTCTTCGCTGCCTCGAGCAGCAGCAAAAAGGCCCGTGTTATCATGACCGTCGTAGTTTGCAATAGTTTCTGGGTCGTCGTTTAAATCGATCAATATATTGTGTATGACCATCAGAGCTTCAACCGTCATATAAATGACGTTGAGCTTGTATCCGGGAAAACTTCGTAGGGAAGTGAATCGTCCTTTGAGCATCCCAAATGCGTGCTCAATCGCAATACGGCAATGCAAGAGTTTGAAGTTAAAATCTCAGCGACAGTGAGACTCTTGAGGGTCGTTTGTACGTTCATAATCAGTGAACGGGCGGATAGTGAACTGGGTGAGTGGGTAACCTATATAAAATCGAAACATTAATGAACCCTGTGCCGTTCCAGGAGATTATGATGAACCAAATGGCACTCATGGTACAGATGGCGTACCTTTATCAGCTAGAATATACTCGTCTCTATCAAAGTGCTCTGCTAGGAATCGCCATATCCTGGACTCTTTGAAAACAGTGGTGTCTTGAACATTTCTGGGCCAGCCCAAGTCAAACTCAGTGAAGCACTTTCTGTCGTCACAGACTGCCTGAAGAACGATCTAAGAGAAAGGACTATGAGAGAAATGCAAAAAGACAAAAAGACTATTATACTTACTGAATAGTACTTTTTTCTACTGAAGTAAAGATTTCCATCTTTCCTAGGTTTTGTAGCAAGTGGGATGAGTGAACCGTCCACCATACCAATACACCCTGGAAATCCTTCGGCTTGAAGACGTAATTTCAGTTCTAGACGATGTTCACCAGTAGGCCAAGTAAGAAACCGAGGCCTGAGCCAGCGAAAAGCAGTACAGACACAGGCACAGTATAGAGGTACTGTGCCCGCTGCAATGGATGATTGCTCTGCAACCTTAATGCCTGTTGTACCACTGTAACGCAGTAGAAATACGGCAAGTTGCTCCCAATGAGGACGCTGCGGACGTTTACTAGTTCTCCTGAAGACCTCATCATCCTTGATGAGGTCACTGAGCATCTTGAATGAAGTACGGTCGACTCTAAAGAGACATGGATTAGAATGCAGTGGCATGCATATGATTCATAACCTTCAAGACGTACCTGAAGAACACTTTGAAAATATAATCCGAAGTACCAAACAGCAAGTTATTGAGGAAATCCTCAGAGTGGGATGCACTGTATGAGCCACAAAATGAAGGGCGAGCACGAAGGAGCAGACGATGAGCTTCATATGCAAGAAGAAGGCCGAGGAGCAGGTCGAATTCAGTGTCAAAATGCAGAATACACAGGGTAGATAGAGCACCCATGCTCATGGCAAATTTATTACTGTAATAAGTAGAGCCAGGCATCTTGAAAGGAGAATGGAGAGCGTAAGATATACAAGAAAACGGCCTGTATATGCACTTAACGCGCTCTTCCTATGTGGTCACATGACCGTGCTTCTTGGTATATTTCATGCTTCTTAAGGATTTACGTTGCGGTATGCAATCAAATGTTTATTTTTTTTCAAACTCCGCGCGTCTGCAAGTGCGAACAAGTGGGTTCGAGCACTTGCACGCACTTGCAGACAGTTGCGCAGATCTCATCTCCATTTGGTATCTA